AAACACTTTGAAGGCCAAGGAGGGGTGGATCATGAGTTCAAGAGATCGAGACCATTCTGGCCATATGTGAAACCCCATCTCTAACTAAAATACAAAATATTAGCTGGCGTGGGTGGCGCGTGCCTATAGTCCAAGTTATCGGGAGGCTGAGGCAGGAGAATCAATGAACACAGGAGGGAAGCTTACGGTGAGCCAAGATCAATCGCACCAACTGCACTCCACCCTCGGTGACAGGCAAGACTCCATCTCAAAAAAAAAAAGATAGACAGGTTCTCCACCTTGTCGCCCAGGCGGAGTGCATCTGATCTCCTCTCTCACCGCCAATCTGCCTCCTGGTTCAAGTGAATTCTTAGCCCAGCCTCCGCCTGCAGTCAGCTGGGACTACAGGCCACACCACTTATGCCCTGCTCTTTGCTAATTTTTAGTAGAGATGGGATTTCACCATGTTGGCCAGGCTGGTCTGGAACTCCTGACCTCAGGTGATCCACCCGCCTAGGCCTCCCAAAGTGCTGGGATTACAGGCGTGGCAAGCCACCGCACCTGGCTCCTCCTCTTTACTTTCAGGAACATCCTACTCTGTCTATGGAGCAGCTGTTCTTTCACCACTTTACTTTCTTAATAAACTTGCTTATACTTTGCACTGCGACTTGCCCTGAATTCTTTCTTGCATGAGATCCAAGAACCCTCTCTTGTGGTCTGGATGGGGACCCCTTTCCTGTACAAATGCATTAGTTGATATGAGAATAAAGAAAAAAAAAGAAACTTCTCCACATAATCATATGACCATTTTGTGAACCATGAAAACAGTTAACAAAATAATTTTCTCATGTCTAATTCTCAGTCCATATTCGTATGTCCCAAAATGTCTTTCACAGCTGGTTTGTTCAACCATTCAATGAAGGACGAAACATTGCAGTTGGCTGTTATGTATCTAAAGTCTCTCAATCTTGATCTTCAGACCACCTTCAACCCAGCTCACCACATCCTCCCCAAGTCCTTTGAGCCAGTCAAACCCAACCGCCATGTTCTCTAAAAAATGCTCCTTTTTTTTTTTTCACAGTCAACTGTTTCTCTGTCCCTGGAGCTCTCCCCTTTATTCTCCAAGGTCACCTTGAGCATATCCACCTGCTCCGTGAAATCCATTCTTCTCTCCCTTTCCCTCCCTCTGAACTTAACCAGCTGCCACCGCAGGCTTCTGCCTTTCTTCAGTGTGGCCAGAATTTGGTTCTGCCTGCTGGCAGAGGGCAGGGCCGCTGTCTTCCTCTCCTTGCAGCCCCCGAGCCTAGCATATGCCTGGCATCTAGTGGCAGCACAATAAGGAACCTGACGAATACTCCTTTCTTCAGCTCTCCACTCCTCCTCCACAGCCTGCCCGCCATGGTCAGGAAGAGCAAGGTCCAGAATGGGCTTGGTGTGTCCCACGGGAAGGCCGTGATCCTGGAAGATGCTTCTCAGCCCAGCCCGGATCTCCTTCCTTTTGCTCTAGAGACTTCTTTCCTTCTTTGTGTACACACATACACCAAGACTCAGGAAGTGGTTCTTGAGGCAGGACCCTAAAAGCCCAAGGAGTGGGTCCGAGGCTGGAGGTGTGGGGGTGTGACGACCGGTCCCACTCTCTGGCCTGTTCAGATCAGCTCCTTCTGGAGACCACCCCTGGCACACAAGGGAGGGAGGCAGCTTGACCCCCTACCCCGCTTCCAGTCCTCACCTGGCTTTGTCTTCTGGGATAAGACGAGGAAATCCAGAGGATGTAAGCCTCTACCTTCGTGTCTTCCCCCAAACCCTCGCTATCACAGACGATGCAGGAGCTGTCCGGGAATTGGGAGGGCAGACCTTGTCAATCCTCCCCCAGAGGGCGGGACCCGACGCGGACGTGTATTGATTGACTGGGTAGCGTGGCTTCGAGGAAGGGCTTCCTCCCCTTTTCTCAGACTAGGAACCCTGGAAAATGGAGAAGCTATGCTAATATAGGGGGGTCAGAAATCCCCACTCTAGAATGCTCTAGAATGTTGGGAGACACCCAGGATGTGAGGCCAGGGACTTTCTGGAACTGTTGGTTCTGGCCCCACCCGACCCCAGGCAGTCCCCAGCTGTCTGCACAGTCGGATGGGGAGGGGGCTTGCACAGAGTTGGAGCCAGAGGAGAGAGCTGGGCTACTGGAGAAGGATGGAGAAACCTCTCTCAGACCACCTTGTCACCCGGCCTCAGCTCTCCGCCCCGGCGCTCAGAGGATAACTCTCACCTAGCTCGTCCGCTTCTCTGAACCAGAGTGACCTAGGCTGCGCTCCGCCCTGCTCTCCTACCCCGAGTTGGCACGGAGACGGGGCGCCAGAGGGGGGGCCCCAGGCGCCCCGAGGTCTTGCCTTTTCGGCTCTCCGTTTGCGGGGGTGGGGGCCTTCTTCCGGGTAGGGGCCACGTGGCCCTGGCCGGGCGGGGGGCTCGGCCCACCCCGCGCCGGGCCCAGTGACTCAGGCCGCAGCTGTTCCCGCGTCACATGAGGGAGGCCGGCGGCCACTGGGCGGGGGAGGGGACCGTGGCTGGAGCCCGGGGCGGGGCCGCGCGGCAGGCGGGGCGGGAGCCGGGGGGCGCAGCTAGAGAGCCCCGGAGCCGCGGCGGGAGAGGAGCGCGCAGCCTTGGGGAGCCCAGGTGAGGCCGCGGGGCCCCGGCGGACTTCGGCGCGGGCTGGGAGACCACCGGCGGTCCCTTCCTCCAGGGCTCGCCCCAGGCCCGCGGAGACTCGCCCGGCGCTCTCCAGCCGCCCTCGAGCAACTTTGATTCGAACTTCCCTGGGCCCGGGCAGGGTGTGGCGGGGGTGCCGGCCGCACCTTTTTTTTTTGGTGGGCGGGAGGTCAGAGCCCAGGAGAAAGCGACTGGGGCAGGGGTCGGGGTTGGGCTGAAGACCGTTTCTCCGGGCTGGGTGTTGGGTGGGGAGAGGGTGTTTGACTCTGAAGGGCCGAGGGTCGGCCTCAGGCTCGAGCCCCTACCGGCGCCCTCGGATCTATCCTGGGCCCCAGAGGCCGCGGGGCGGGGTCCGGGCTTCGCGGCGGTCGCCCCCACCCCTCTCCTGCGGGTAGAGAGGGGGCTGGGAGACGTGGTTCCGACCGCGGGTTTCCGGGTGGGAGGGGCCGGGAATCGGGGCCGTGTAGGGAAGCCCTCGAGGGCCGGCCAGGAGCCCGGAAACCGAGGTCCCCCTTCGGCCAGTTTTAATCCCCCCGCCCTCCTCTCTGTCCCAGGCCCGGCAGCCATGGCGGTGGAAGGAGGAATGAAATGTGTGAAGTTCTTGCTCTACGTCCTCCTGCTGGCCTTTTGCGTGAGTGGCGAGGGGTCCTGGGGGGCGCGCCGGCAGGGTGCGGGGAGACCTGGCTCCACAGTGGTGAGGGCTGAGGGAATAAGAATTAAGGCAGCTGGAGACCAGATGTGGAAAGAAAGCCAGGGAAAGACAGCGCGGCCACTCCCTCGTCCAGTTTTCCTGGACACCTGAGGCTTGTTTCCACCGAGAATGGCCATCCTGGGTGTGCAGCAACCCCTACCCCCATCCCTCCTGCCTGGCCCTTCCTGTCTGGTGACCCAACCACTTGTGATATGGGGCAGTGGGGCAACCAGCCAACCGCCTGATGCTATCGCCACGAGGCTTCCCTTCACTCTCCCTTCTCCCCTCTTTTCCTCCCCAACCCCCTCATCCCTCTCCAGTCCCTCTCCCCCTTTCCGTCCTCCCAGCGCTTGGGAGTGAGGAAGGGCTCTGCCCACCTCAATTTGCTCCTGTCCTGGGCTCCTGGCTTGAGAGGCTACTGTATGTCTAGGGAGGGGCACATCACTCTTGCCCCCTTTTCCTCTTCCCTTCTCCTGGCTTAACTGGCCAGAGGAACCTTAGTCACAGCTGATGCGCGTGGGGTGTGCACTGGAGGATAGTGAGGGAGCAGTTCTGGGAGAGAATTGAGCTGGGAGTCCTGGAGGCCCGTAGAAAGCATTATTCTAGGTCAGAAATACGTGCCTTGGGGTCAAGGCTTTCTGGGAGGTCTTTGAATTTGGTCACGTCCCTGATTGAAGAGCTGGGAGGGGATCAAGGGAGGTGGGGGCAGGCAAGGATGGGTCATCCCCCTTCCCTACAGCCAAAGAAGTTCCCTGGAGGTGTGAGAATCTCTCCTCCGGATGGGGTCATGTCTGTGTCCTAGGTGTACCCCTTGCCCTCCACCATGGAGGACCACTGTGTTGTGGATCAGGCCTAATCCTCACCTGCTTTCCTGTTAGGCCTGTGCAGTGGGACTGATTGCTGTGGGTGTCGGGGCACAGCTTGTCCTGAGTCAGACCATAATCCAGGGGGCTACCCCTGGCTCTCTGTTGCCTGTGGTCATCATCGCAGTGGGTGTCTTCCTCTTCCTCGTGGCCTTTGTGGGCTGCTGCGGGGCCTGCAAGGAGAACTATTGTCTTATGATCACGGTGAGTGGGAGGCGGGACTAACATGGGTGGTCTGGGACTGCCAGAGCAACTTGGTTGGTGCTCAGGAAGGTGGGTGAGGTGAGGTGGGTGAGTGAGGAAGACCTTTGTGAGTGTCCAGGGACCGGCTATGCCAGAACAGGCCCCTGTAATGCATAGACTCCAAACCTGACTCCTGTCCTTTGCTCCTGCAGTTTGCCATCTTTCTGTCTCTTATCATGTTGGTGGAGGTGGCCGCAGCCATTGCTGGCTATGTGTTTAGAGATAAGGTAAGCAGGGAATAATGGGAAGGGCCTGCCTCAGCCTGGTCTGGGACTCAGGTGCTTGAATTCTGACGGCAACAGTGCTCCTCCGTACCCTCAGGTGATGTCAGAGTTTAATAACAACTTCCGGCAGCAGATGGAGAATTACCCGAAAAACAACCACACTGCTTCAATCCTGGACAGGATGCAGGCAGATGTGAGTGGGGTTGCTGGGAGCAGGGGTGATGGGAATAGAGAATTCTCATCTCCAAGGCTGGGTGTGGTGGCTCACACCTGTAATCTCAGCACTTTTGGAGGCCGAGGTGGGGAGATCACCTGAGGTCAGAAGTTTGAGACTAGCCTGGCCAACATGGCAAAACCCTTTCTCTACTAAAAATACAAAAATTAGCCAG